CTGCGACGGGAGCAGGGGGGGGGAAACGGAGGAGGGCGTCCTACAGTAGCCGTTCAGATGGGTGCTTCGGGCGTGCAGGACCTCAAGCGGCCACACGCAACACTTTATATCATGGCTATATCCGCATGGCAGTATATACGACTTTTTATACACACGGAAATGTATAGTTTGTCCGCTCTGAGGGGCGTTGGTACACTTTCATGCGGGCGGGTAATGCAATGTTCTTTGGAATCCGAACGACAAACGAACGAATTCGATGACACCTTCTGCTCCGTGTTCCGGGGAGATCTTGGCCTCAGGGTATGCTTGCGAGGAAAAGGTCAAAACACATGGAACAGTTTCAATCGCAATCATTTCACATATCGTAAGTACACTAATAATGAACCAAAAGTATAAATACACATGACGTCACGGTTTATTGTTTCCTTTGTTACTAAGTATGTGCTTCCTTCCATACAACGCGCACACGCACACGCACGCACGCACGCGCGCGCACACACACACACACACACTTGTGGCAGCTCCCGACATCTGAAAAGTAAAACGACAACATGAAGTTTCTTCTGTTCCTCTCATAAGCGAAAGGAGGGAAATAAATGAAGGCTCGACCGCCAAAGTTCCTGCATTAACATCTCCCTCCGTCAGGCACGAACGCTGACGAGCAGACCGTTTTATTTTTACTTATTTATTTATTATCATCTATAAACATCTCGACGCCGCGAGGGAAGACGTCACCCCCCCCACCCACCTCCAACCCTACCTGCTCCACCCCCACCCAAGCTAGCACCCCCCCCCCCCACTAGCAACACTCGCGAAAATTTATTCGCTGGGATTTTTCCTCAGGGAGAATATGCGAGTCGCGTCTCGTCAACTGAGAGTATTGGGCGGGGTGGAGAGGGGGGAGGGGTGGAGAGGGGGACATGAAGGGGGGCAGAGGACAGGGAGAAGGAGGAGGAGCGGAGAGGGAAGATACGGAGGAGGGAGAAGGGAGAAGGGAGAGGAGAGGGGGAGAGGGAAGAGAGAGGAGGGGAAAAGAGAGTAGAGAGAGAATACGGAGGAGGGGAGAGGGAAGAGGAGAGAAAGGAGGGGTGGGTGAGGGGTAGAGGAGGGGTACTACCCATCACATCTGTCGCTCCGCCGTGTCAGGGAGTAGTTCTGGAATAATCGCCATCCTCGCCGCTGCTGCCGCCGTACCCTCGCGCCACCAGGCAGGCACCACCCTCGCCGCCGGGACTCGGTTTACCATTGCCCGCACAATCAAACAGACAAACAAACCGAAACGAGAGAGAGAAAGAGAGAAAGAAAGAGAGAGAGAGAGAGAGAGAGAGAGAGAGAGAGAGAGAGAGAGAGAGAGAGAGAGAGAGAGAGAGAGAGAGAGAGAGAGAGAGAGAGAGAGAGAGAGAGAGAGGGGGGGGGGGAAGGGGGGTCGAAAAGATTCAATAACTACGATTGCTCCTCCGCCCTGCCCTCTCTCTTCCTTATCGATCCTCCAAAGCGCCGCTAAAGGACAGAGTTGCTAAATAATACAACCGAAGGAGTTCCAATAACCGGGGACAATAACGGCGTCGGCACCGCTGAAATTACGGATACAGTTCTTACTCGTGTAAAATTAAATGAATACAGAAGTTACACGACACTACTGCTGCCACGGTTAACCCAGAACTATAAAAAGTAATAACGGGGCAATAAAACTGTCGCAATGCCGCAATACCTAAGGCAGCTCCACCGATACCTTGTCTATGACTCCCTAATTATTCAGGAGAAGGAACTGCACACTCCGCTGGCCGCTGGGAAGCAGCTCGCAACACCACGAGTTGCTTTTGGCGATTGGCGATTTCCCTATACGCACGTACACTTACACGGACAGACATAGGCACGTGCTAACACACATACAAATAGAGGACTGTGTACTCACGCACGCACGCACATGCATAAATTCATACGCTCACACTAAAACACACACACACACACACACACACACGCTGATCTCGTAATATATGCATTCAAAAGAACAAGTTTCATTGCCTCCCGTCCTCAAGTTTGCAGCAAGACAGATCATTACCAATGATAATAAAGAGGTAATTATTATTATTAACTGTGTAATCATGTGTGAGTATAACTGCGAGTATGTGGGGGTATGAGTGAGTGAGTGAGTGAGTGAGTGAGTGAGTGAGTGAGTGAGTGAGTGAGTGAGTGAGCGAGCGAACGACTGAGTAAGTAAGTAAGTAAGTGAATGAGTGAGTGAGTGAGCGAATGAATGACTGCCTGAGACTTGAACGTGCGTGCGTTTGTGCGTGCGACCGGGCGCGTGCGCATGCGTATGTACATGTATACAGATGATAGGACTTTTTGGCTTTAACTTCAAGCATCATTGCCGCTGCATGAAATTACTCTTGTAACACCGAAGCTTCACTCATTCCTCCGAATGCCCCACTACGCTCTCCTCATTTCCTCTCCTCTTTCCTCCCTTCCTCTTTTACTTTATCTGCTTTCGTGTTGAGTCTATTTGTTATTTTCTAAGTACTGGCAACAACAAAAATCGCGATGGTAATAATAACAGCATGATGATAATACAATTGTATCGTGAACGATAAATTGTGAATATAATTTAAAGCATTCCGCTTCCCGCGCCGTGTTCGTTTTTGTTCTCCTGGGGAGGACGCGGAGGTACTGGCGGGTGTGCTGTGGTCATCGGCAGAAGAACCGTTTGAATAGATAACACTTTGATATTTGCAATCTAATATTACTATGAATATTGAATTGTGATATTATGTGCAGAGATATTAGTGTGTGGAATGTGGAATATTCTGCACTTTATACTGTAGATCATTATGTGATACTGTTTAAATAGATAACATTTTATTATTTGAAATATAATATTACTGCATAAGTTTATGCTATGGATCCATAATCTTACGATATTAGTTTAAAAATAACTAACATTCTACGTTTTGCAAATGGAGTAATATTCAAATTTATCTTTTATATTCAGAAATCTATATTTGATATATGATTTACTTATGATGATACATTCATACTTTTGATCTTCTTCAGGTTGAACAAAGAAATAAAGACAATGCTATACACAGGCTCCTGATTCTCCTAGTGTTACAACAATAATGATAATATAATCATAACAATAATAAGAAGAACGATAATAATACAACAATAATATTACTAATATAATAATAACAATAATACCAACAATTATAAAACTATTATAATGCTAAGTCAGCTATGCCAAAAGAGAAAACGAGGAAAGGATAGTGGTAATAAAAATGCTAATAACAACAACAACAGTATCAATAATAATCAGACGAGAGAGAGAGAAAAGAGAGAAAGAGAAAGAGAAAGATAAAGAGAAAGAGAAAGGGAAAGAGAGAGAGAGAGAGAGAGAGAGAGAGAGAGAGAGAGAGAGAGAGAGAGAGAGAGAGAGAGAGAGAGAGAGAGAGAGAGAGAGAGAGAAGTGAGTAACAACCGACCACAAGCTTACTCTAATTGTTTCTTCTCTTCCCGATTCCGCGCGCGAAACGACCCAAGTTTCTCTCGTATCCTGGACAAAATACGGCGAGGTAGGGCAGTCAATCCTTTAACCCCCCCCCTCCCCCGTCTCCTCCTCCTCTTCATCTTCCTTGTTCCTTATCTGTCCTCCTCTCTCCATCTTTTCACTTTTCGACTTCTTCCTTCCCTTTCCATCTCCTCCTCCTCCTCCTCCTCCTCCACCCCTCCCCCTCCATCCTTCCACCCCTACCCATCCCCTCATCCTCCACCCCTCCCCCTCCACCCCTCCTACCCATTCCCTCCCCCGCTCCCCCCCCCCCCCCCGTCCGGAGATTTACCTGAAGGTGCCACAGGTGCGCGTCCGCCGTCTTATGAATCCCGGGCTGAGGTTTATTAGCAGCTCCGGCTCTGACGTCTTTGATGGAACATGGGGAATGGGGAGGAGGCGGCGAGTGGGGACAAGGGTGACGAATAAAGTGGGGGAAGAATGGGGAAGAATGGAGACAATGTGGATAACTGGAGAGGAAGGGGATGAATGAGGAGGATGCGACAAATGGAGAGGAGAAGGGAGAATGGGGAGGAGAGAGAAGAATGGGGAGAAGGCGAGGAATGAGAGAATGAGGGTGGGGCGAGTGAAGGTGGTTCAGAGGAGGGGGAAGAATGGAAGAATGGGGAGATAGAAAAAAAAAAACTTGAGAGGCAGAAGGAAATGGGGAAGGGTGGTAGAATCGAATTCCTTTTTGCCTTCAGTTCCGTCGTTCAAATGAATAAATAATCAAGCAAATTTATTCGGGCATTTCTATCTCCTTTTGCAACAGTAGACAGCCTCCTTCAAATAATAATAAATGAAAATAATACTTCTGATATTGACAATACTGGTACAGTACCAGATAGTAGTACTACTGCTACTGGGATAATTATAATACAGCTAGTGATACTACCAATATCTCTATCTCTACTAGTACCATTGATATTATTACGAGTAAAAATAATCGTGATGATGACAACAAGAACAAAAGAACAGCACAGCCTGGCGGCGGCAGTTCCCACAAGCCCGTCCCCGCACAGAGCGCATCAGCACTACCATTAATTACACCACAAGTGAGAATCGCAAAGTTATGGTAACTTCATCTTCTAATCCAAACTTCAGGCCGCCCTAATAACGTAACCGAATAAAATATCTCGGGAGAAATTTTACTTCTCTCGGGATAAGATAATATCGCCTGAGACAATATCTGCGCAAAAGTTTTCGATATATAAAGGATCATATTGCACATGGGGGAGGGAGGATGAAGGAGAGGGGGGGGGGGGAGGAAAAGGGATCTTTGTTTGTCTGTCACATCTCTCAGGCTTTATATTCCTGTGACACACATACATACACATACAAATACATACACACATGAGCACATACAAAGTGCACACATACGCACGCACGCACGCACACACATGCACACACACACAAACACACGTGTGATGCAAGGCAACTGGTCAGCCGTGAG